AAGACTTGGACTTTAGTAATTCCCCAAGTTCAAGGTCTTCATTACACCAGCTTATTCTTGACTGCTGTTTTTGGAGGGCAGAACAGTGGGGGCGTAATTAATTCATTAAGGAGAGCCAACGTGGTGTAGCAGTTTGAGCACTGGACTTTGACTCTGGAGACCAGGGTTCAAAATCATGGAAACACCCTGGGTGACCTTTGGCAAGTCACACTCTCTCAGCTTCAGAGGAAGGCAAAGGCAACCCCCTTCTGAACAAATATTGCTAAGAAAACCCCCAACATAGGTTCACCTTAGGGTTGCTATAAATCAGGAATAACTTGAAGACACATAATAACAATAATTGATTAATTAACCAACCAACTAACATCTATTGAGCCAAACAGTGATAACTCCTCCCCTGAGGTCATGTATTTCTCTCCACTGGCCCTCTTTTCAGAATCATGAATCAGAATACCAGAAGCATTTTTTGCTGAGGATGTCTTTCAAAACATATCAAGCTGGAAGACGTCAGAATGACGGTATCACATTCCTTACTTAAGGAAGGAGTCACACTATTCCCAATCACCAGCACTGTGAAAGGCAGGAGAAGCTTCATTTCTTTCATGTTACAAAAGTGTACTACTCATCACACAGGAATGCTTACCAAAATTCCTGGTAGAACCACAATCATTTCCCATTCTGTTGAAAGCTGCTGGCCAAGTTCCCTGGCGCAAATCTTTTATTCAGCCTCTGTATAACCATATAGGGCAATGTCATGATCTGCTGAAATTTCATGCTCTAGCATCCAGTGAATAACTTCATCTTTGGATTACAACTCTCACCAGCCCTTTGTGACTGGGGATTCTGGGAATTGTCATCTGAAAAAGCAACTGTTCTAGACTTTGGTTATCAAGCTGACACTTGCTATCGTGACCACAGGAAAAGAAATGTAGGTCTATCGCTTCTCGGCCTTTTGGCTAAGATCAAGTATAGTGTAAAAGAAATGTAGGTCTAATCTGCACAACAGAATAAAGTAGTTTGACACCACTTTAACTGCCATGGCTCCATCCTATGGAATTCTGAGTCTTATAGTTTTGTGAGATATTTAGCCTTCTCTGCCAGAGAGCACTAGTATCACAACAAACTACAAATCCCAGGATTTCACAGCACTGAGCCACGGCAGTAAAAGCGGGATCAAACTGCACTAATTCTACAGCATAGTAAAATGCATAATTGGAAAGTTCTGCTCTGTTGTAACCATAGCCAAATGTGGGTAAATGGCAACATCTGATGAGGTCTGTTTAAGTCCTTAGGAGAGCTTGGTAGATGATGTAATTGCTCAGTGTCTGGCAAATAAATGGTCAGGGAGGATAAGAGTTCAGTCAAAACAATATCTGGAGGAAAGAAGGTTGCGAACCACTGCCATAGAGAGAAGGAAAGAAGGAGACAGCCAAGTTATTTGAGAAAGCAAGACACCCAGAGGTACTGGAGAGTGATAGATCTGAAGGCATGAGCATGGTGAGAGAGCATCTGAGGAGGAAGCAAGACCATAAACACTCAGTACAGGAGTAAAGCACTGGGGAATTTTAAAGAGCTCCCCTTCTTGGAGAGAAAATTCCATTCTGTTGCATTCAGAACATAGTGTTGGCAGAACAAGTCGTTTCGCCGCTGCCAAATAGCTGAGGGGGAATGCAAGAATGTGACAAGAGGCAGGTATAAGAATACCCCACCTTGGGTGGGGTTTGTTCCCTTGTTATTGCCATCAAATATTCATAGAATGGTGTTAGGTTGCAAATTAACCCTGCAAAATACAACCTCAGTGAGCACATCACTACTTTCCTTTCTGTACAAGTTTTACCTTCTTGTCCCAGCTCGGCCCTGGGCACCCACTGGGTGACCTTGGGCAAGTCACATGCTCTCAAACATCAAGGGAAGGCAATGGCAAAACCTCCTCTGAAAAAATCTTGCCAAGAAAAACCAGTGATGGAATCACCTTGAGTCAGAAATGTCTTGAAGGCACACAACAACTTCAATACAAACATGCCTCATTTAACAAAGCCTTTGCCAGTGAAGTTCCTCTTAACAAAGTCTTTTTATGCCTGCAGCCATACCTCTCTTCCTTTTTGTTTGTCTTCTTGTTGTTGTTGTGTGACTTCAAGTCTACCACCAAGGGTGGTTTAGTACATCTAGATGGGTCAATGGTCACAGAAATAGACTTGGAGGCTGCATGTGCTTTGATTGGGAGTTCCTGCATGGCAGGGGGTTGGACTGGATGGCCCTTGTGGTCTCTTCCAACTCTATGATTCTATGATTCTATGTCACATCGTCACACCTTGATATTAGATGTTAATTCTATCCAAGCACTCTTGTTCCCAATATCATCAACCTGAGCCTGCTACCAAGAAAATACTGTCCCTTACAAATCTCACTGGCTATGAAAGCAAACCAGTCTTCCTGTCCTTGGTGCATTATTGCTACAGAGTTGCCTGTTAATAAATAAGATTATAATAGGAACAACAACAACAATGTTCTATAAATGATATACATGTTGAACTACTAAAAAGATATCATGAAACTTCAGTTTAGTGGTTTGCTCAACCAATATGAAAGAAATGGGTAATAAAATGATAGCATGTGTTTGCATCACCATAGGATTTGAACATGGAATGCAATAATAGTATACATGCTTTGCTAATAAAATAAAAGTGCCTACAGGCAGACCAGTTCTGGGAAGAGCTAGGAAGATGCCTAACCACAAATAGGGTTAATTGAGGATTTGGGGTAAGTTTCATTACCTAAAACACAAACAGACTTGCATGCAATACACAGATTACTATTCAGATTAACGAATGAACCAGAAAGGCAAGCAAAGATGGCTACTCAAATAAATAAAACAAAGAAGTGGAAAATAAATAGAGAAACAAAAGCAGTAACCACCACAGCCCTTACCACAGCTTTTTCAAAAATATGCTACTAAAAGCTACGTAAATCTAGCAAATGAATGAAGAGCTACAGAAGATAATTGACTATAATTTCAATAACTTTTCATAATCCTTCCCCATGAACACTGTGACTGAAGAGTAAGATGTTTGCTCCAGATGGCATTACTACACCTGTAAAGAAGCAAAACTCATCTCCTCTCCTCCCTCTCTATATCATACTATCTTGGTACAGTATTTTCCTTGTATGGTCATGTTGGGAATACATTGTCTTGTTTCTCCCCACTTAATTTCAACACCTGAAACTCTCTGGCTTCTTCTGAATCACTTTGGACCCTGCCTATCCTCTCCGGAAATAAATCTGCCCAATCTGATCTGTTCCAAGTCATTTGGCTTGATTCGGTTCAGGATTCAGCCAAACCAGTTGCACAGCCCAAATATTATTTCTTTAATTAATTGATTTATATTCTGTCTTTCTTCTGGGAAGGGTGTCAAAGTGGCTTACAATAAATAAAAACAAAGTACAGTTAAAACCTATTGGATACAAAACATAAATGTAATAAATACATATATAAATTTCACAAATGCAATAGGGATGTGTTCAGGAAACCATCTCTTACTTTGTAAATGCTATTATTATACTTTTATGTATGTGTACCTGACCACATTATTTGAGAAAAGGTTTGAGAAATTCCAGACCTTCCCTAGGAAAGAAGTTACAAGAACTGTCTAGCAGTTCTATTATCATTTCTTGATAATATTTATTTATTGTTTTTCTGCCCACCAGGATTTCAAATGCAATGTACGATAAAATAAATAGAACATTCTTTATATATGATTTATTTATCATTTCTGTTTCAAAGATGTTATTCCCACAGATATTCAGGTTAAGCATGAGATAACACTCTTAATAGACTCCTTCATCCCCATCTGAGGTCTTCTTGTTATTGTGTGCCTTCAAGTAAGTTCTGATTTATCCCAACCCTAAGACAAAACTATCATGGGGTTTTCTGAGGCTGACAATGTGTGACTTGCCCAAAGTCACCCAGTGAGTTTCCATGGCTGAGCATGGATTTGAACCCTGGTCTCCAGAATAGTAATCCAATGCTCAAACCACTACACCACAATGTCTGAGGAGACATAATCCCACAGAGAATAAGCACAGTTCTTTGCCGTTTTTGTCTCAGTTCCAGTACACACTGATTCATATTTTGCAGGGAAGCAGAAAGATGAGTAATTTTTGCTCATCACCCGTATCTTTTTAGGCCATCCCAACAGTTCATTGAAATGTTACCAACTATCAACTGTTTTTCAGAGCTTAAAATCTATTGCCTCAGGGAGACTGCACTGATAGTTCAGTTTACTTATGGAAATCTCAGAGTCAAGAATTGCAGAGATGGCACGGATGCTGAATTTCTCTGTGGCCCTTTCGCACCACACAATTATAGTGCTGTGATTCCACTTTAACTATCATGGCTGACTTCTTGTGAAGTCCTGTGATTTGTAATGTGGTGAGGTGAGGAACTAGAGCTCTATGGCTGAGAATTGTAAATATTCCTCCCTTAACTGCAAATCCCAGGATTTCATAGGATGTTGCTGTAGCACTTAAAGTGGAATTATATTGCTATACCTGAAAGGGTTTTTAGAGTCAAGGCTGTAGGAGATCCAGAAAGATCTTTTCAAATACCCCTCAATGTATCACAATACATGTCTGAAGACTGGATATATTTGTTCTCCAATAGCCCCATTCTCCATAGACATAAAAGCCTTGAAAGTGACAACTCCTTTGGAGAGCCAGCATGGCACAGTGGTTTGATTGTTGGACTACGACTCTGGAGACCAGGGTTTGATTCCTACTCAGCCATGAAATCTACTAAGTGATCTTGAGCAAGCCACACTCTCTCAGCCTCAGAAGATGGCAACAGCCACCCCCTTTTGAACACATCTTGCCAAGAAAACCTCATGATAGGTTTGTCTTATGGTGGCTATAAGTCGGAAACCACTTGAAAGAAAACAACAACAACAACATTATTAATACTTGAAAGCATTCTAGGACCCATAGACAAGACAATTAACACTTTCCAAATTCTGATGAAATGGCAGGGCGTAGCATTCATGACATAGCATTCATACAGTCAAGCCTTACCATTTGTAAGCACACATTCATTTATTTGAGCCAGTATAGTATAGTGGTTCAAGTATTGGATTACAATCCTGGAGACTAGGGTTTGATTACTTGCTCTGCTGCCATAAAAATCCACTGAGTCACACACTCTCAGCCCTAAAACCCCCATGATAGGTTCACCTGAGGGTTGCCATAAGTTGGAAACGACTTGAAGGCACACAACAAAACATTTATTTACCACAGCTCCTTAGATCAGGGTCAGCAAATCTGTGGTCCTCCAGCAGGGTTGCTGCCTGATCCCAGGGTCTGGCCTGAATCTCCAGTTTTTGTGCATGATCTCCAGGTGGGAGATGAAGGTGCAAATTCTCAATTTTTTGAGGGGGAGCAGATAAGAGAAGGGGCTGTGTGCACATCTCCAACTCAACTAGAAGAGCAGCAGCTTGCTACAGTTTTGAAAGAAAACTTGCAAAAAAAATTCCAGGGAATTCTATGTATTTATGTAGTTAGCTTTTTCCTTTCGTCACAATCCTTGTGGTGCCACAATTCATCCTCCACTCTCCTCTGTATCCAACTTCTGGATAGAATCAAGATGGTGAGATTAAATGGTCCTTATCCCATCTCCCTAAGTAAATGAGAACGAATAATACTTTCATTTCACCTTGATTTGGGAACAGCCCCTTTGTGTGTGTATATGCCACCTGTCAACTTACAACAACCCATCAATTAGGATTTTTTTAGGGAAGGACTACTCAGAAGTAGTTTCGTCTCTACACCTACACCACATGGTATTCATTGGTGGTCTCCCATCCAAGTATTAGCCAGGACTGACTCTGCTTAGCTTCCAAGTCTGGTGTCTTCAGGATATTTAGGCCTGCAACACAGCTTACTCTTTATTTCCAAACTGGAAAATATTGTGTATGTGTGTATTTATATGACAAACCGTGGCATTTCATGCATAACACATAGTGGTATCACTAGGAGCCATTAGTAGGACTCAGATTTTGACCCAGAAACCTTGAGGTCTGGGGTGATCCTGAAATGGCAACCCTATTCTCCAGATCTTTTAAAACTCTGAAATCCAAATCTCAAGATGGGGAGTGGTGCTGGGAATCCAGATTCTTGCCCTGATGTGGGGAGAAAAATGGCAGCTGAGCTCCCCTGCCGTCTTTAATTCCCCCTTATAACCAGTGTAACTTATGTATCAGACTACATACCAGACTACAAAACAGAACAACATCTATCCTCCATCCCTAGGTTTGTTGTTGTGTACCTTCAAGTCATTTCCAATTTATGGCGGCAATAAGGCAAACCTATTACTGGGTCTTCTCGGCAAGTGTTGTTCAAAGGAGGTTTGCCATTGCCTTCCCCTGGGGCTGAGAGCATGTGGCTTGGCCAAAGTCAACCATTTCATGGCCAAGCTGGGAACTGAACCCTGATCCCCAGAGTTGTAGACCAACACTCAAACCACTACACCATGCTGGTTCTTCCATTCCTAGGTAGCTTCTGTCATATTTTGGCTTGGGAAGCCAAGTGTTCAAAGGTGGAAAAACTGGCTGGTTATGCAAGTCTTGTTTACCTGTGGCTGGAAGGATGCTCCTCCCCTGTACCTCCACCCCTCCTATAAAGAAAAGGAGCTACTCATCTTAGTTGGCTGTCAAAGCACAGAATGCAGCATCTGACACATACACAGACCATGGAAGGCAAAGGGCTGGTGGCTGAGCTCCAGAGGGCAGCCACTTGCCCTGCCTGCAGGGGACACTTCAAGGACCCAGTGATCCTGGACTGCGATCACAGCTACTGTCGGGCTTGTATCACCCGCTACTGGGATGAGGCGTCAGCAGCTGGGAGGGTGCTGTCTTGCCCCCAGTGCAAAAAAGTTTTTGAGAGGAAGAACCTTCGGACCAACGTCAAGCTGGCCGTGGAAGTCAAGATCACGCAGCACCTCAATGCCAAGACAGCAGAAGTGTCCCTCGTACCCAAGTCCAGGAGACGCCGTGGAGGATGGACCCCGGCCGCCAGCATCCAGAAAGAAAAGGTAATAACCTAAGGGACAATTTTTCAAAAAAAATATATAATAATACACAAAATGGTTATTGATCTATTGATAACATGGGACTTTTCAGAGATATAGCCATGTTAGTTTATAGATTCAGTATGTAGAGAGATGTTGTAGCGCCTTTGAGACTAAGTAAAAGAAAGAAGTTGGCAGCATGAGCTTTCCTAGACTTCAGTGGATTTGGTGACTGAATGCATCTGAGGAAGTAGACATGGGGGCTTAATGTGAGTCCCTTTAAAATAGGGAATGAATTTGGGGCTCAAGTGTTTTGATTAATCAGGCAACAGTCATGTTCATGTTAAGTAATAATAAAGGAATGGGCATCTCTGAATATGCATAGAGTGGCTCTCATATTGAAAACCCACAAGCAATGCCTAAACATCTGGGTTTTATCTCTGCAAGCAATAAAGTTTTGAGCTAAGCATATGCTCAGGCGCTTTTTGTTTTAAGAAATCCAAAAGGGAGACAAATTGGCCAGTGTTTGGCACCTTTCTCTTTCTGTAAAAACCCACTGCCATATCTGCATTTCATTTCTATTTTGAGTCTAACGTTTTGTTGAATGTTAAAGGATACACACCACAAGAGATTTGTGGTGAGAGAGAGTGCTTTGCATGGTGTTGTTTGAAGGCTCCCAAGCTGTCACCTTTTTGCATGATGGAACAGGCAGTAATTCAGCAGGTAGAAATTTACCTTTAACAGTTGTGGGACAGACAGAAATAAAATGTGGAACTTCCCTCTAGCACTGGAATTTACTCATGAAAGAGAGAACATTGCGCGTTAAATGTTTGTCTCATATATCAGCACTTAAAGGCAAAGGAAAAATGGAACAGGGGAAATGGCAATACTTTCTTCTTGTTGAACCATGCATCTCAGGCAGTTCAACATCAAGGGAGTAGCTGCCATGAGAAGCCTATGTATGTTTCCCTCTTCTTCTGTCTGCAAAACTTGCACTAAGGATCTGGTGAAGAAATCACCAAGCAGCAGGGGGTAGGACTGGAAGACCTCTAAGATTCCTTATCACTCTAAAATGCTAGGATGGCAGGACATATGATAGGACATAAAACAGGAATATATGCCTAATTGTTAACAACAGAGCTGGGGAAGCTGTGGTTCTGCCAATGTTGTTGGACTGCCATCACTCCGGCTAACAACCTCAAAGATCAGGGATGATGAGAGTTAGAGTAATAGAATCATAGAGTTGGAAGGGCCTCATGGGCCACTGAATCTCTGCTCAATGTAGGATCTCCAGCTAAAGCTTACCCAGCAGGTAGCTGTCCAGCCTCTTCTTAAAGACATCCAGAGAAGGCGATCTCACTACTTCTATAGACAATTAGTTCTGTTGCTGAACTGCTCTTCCTGTCAAGACGTTCCTTCAAATATTCATTTTGAAATCTATTCTGCTGCAACCTCAGACCATTAGACCCTCTGGGGCAGCAGAGAACAAACCTGCACCTTCCTCCCCACGGCAGCCATCAGTCCTCTCTGCACCAAGCTGCACATGCCCAGCTCCTTCCACCTTTCTTCATATGTTTTATTGTAGTTCAGCAGCTGAACCAGGCTCAGTGACATGATGGAGATTTTAAATTGGATCTCCTTCTGCTTTGGTGACTAACAGCCATAGAGGGAGGAGAGCCTTCTGCTTGGGATATCATGGTATTTGCAGAGGGACTAAAGTAATTCCACCCCCAACACTGTTTTCCTAGTGGAAAAAAGTCACTCCAAGATTTTATTTATTCTTATAATTTCCCCGACAAGAAAAGTTAATGTTTTGAACTACAACTTCCAGAATCCTTAGCCAGTGTAGTTTGATTGGCAAGGGGATTATCGACATTCTGATCCACAAAAGTAACTTTTCTAAGCTCTCACCAGAATATCCTGGCATCTCCAGACAGGGCTGGAAAAAAATCCTATCAGAGACTATAAATTACAACCTGTTACTAGGGGCAATAC